TAAAAGTAATTAAAGTTGGAATTTAAAAAATAAAAGTAAAGAAAGGTGGTAATTCTTTTTATAGAAAAAGAAAAGCAAAATGTAAGTGAGATTTCTTTTAAATAAAAAAATAAAAAAATTTAAAAAAAAATCTGAATTTTTTTGAAAATTCTCCTATAAATAGAAGAGAAATATTTGAAGAGAAGAGGGAAGAATATTGAGAGAAAATAAATTTTCTTCTTCTATGCTAAAGAGAATTTCTACTAGTTTTATTCTTTCTACCTATTTCTTTCAACAAAAAAAAAACATATAGTCATTCATTACCTTGTTTAAAAAAAAAATACCTCAAAAACAGGAGCTAAATCACACCAAATATCAAATCCAAAAGCTTCAAACTCAATTTAAAAGATAGCCCAAAATACTAGCCCGAAGAGGTCGAAGTCGAGTTCGGTTCGAAAGGTTTCCGCTCGTTGCCTCTGATTGTGGTTCATTTGCACATTAAATTTGATGGTTGTTTGCTCCATATGTATTGAATAAGATCTTCATCTATAAAAGGTTCATTCTTTTCTTAACCAATGTTTCCATTATTTTTCTTTCACCGTATTTCCTTTTGATTTGTATATTATATTTTGGTTATCTACCAACTTGAAAGATATGAACAAAAAAAATGAAGGAAGAGCATCAAGAAATAGAATTCGTGAAAGACAGAATGAGTTTCTTCAATGAGATTGTAGTTCATAGGGAAATATAGGAAAATATATTCAAAATGGAGAGAGAAGGATGTAATAGCTTGGATCCAAATAAAAGGATGTTAAGTCAATAGCAAATTTGATACCGACATGGGTGATTAGGTCCATAATAACTCAAATCATATATTTCTTCAATAATAATTCCATATTCATAAATCATGACCTTGCAATAATCTCAAAGTAGTTTTAGGAAGAAACATAATCATGAATATTTGTAGTTTGCTTTAAATTGAATACAATCCTTTTAGAATAATCGAGGCGCGCCATGCCAAATAAAATCTCAAAACTCATGGCCCTCATTTAATTAATTTTAATCCTTAGAAATCATGGCGTGCCATTTAGTTGAATTTTCCATGGCCCTCGCAAACTTGAAAGTGCGTAGTTGCTTTAGGCGCGCTATTTTAAAAAAAAAAATAATTTCCTAAACTCGGGTGTGCATTTTATGTGACCCAAATTCAAATCTCAACAACGTTAGATAAAATGTGTCGTGGACCGCGGGTGCATTTCATGTGACGTGGTTCAATACGTGTTTTATATGACGTTGAATTTTTCCAAAAAAAAAAAATTAATTAAAAGCGGCTAATAAGTTAAAAATATACCATAGGTTGAAACTATGTTTTACAAATCAGATAATATGCCAATTGTAATAGTTTAAGCGACCGTGCTAGAACCACGGAATCCGGGAATGCCTAACACCTTCTCCCGGGTTAACAGAATTTCCTACTCAGAATTTCTGGTTCGCAGACTTCAAAAGGAAAGCCGAAATTTCCTCGATTTGGGATTTAAAATAAATCGGTGACTTGGGACACCAATTAAACTATCCCAAGTGGCGACTCTGAATTGAATATTAATCCCATTTCGAATAATGTCACTTAAATTGGAAAAACTCCCTTATATACCTTCGGGTGTGTAAAAAGGAGGTGTGACACATATATATAGGACTCCTTAAATATTTTAAGTGTGCCTCCTAAAACATAGAGATGGATGAGAGAAGTGGTTGCTTTGCGCCCTTAAATTCCCAACTTTGTTGAGGACATAGATTCCAAACCCCCCTTCAGCTTTTTTCTCCTCCTTTTTATTTTTATTCTTTGAGTACAATGTAATTTATATTCAATAGCAAATTGCTTTATCTTTTACTTTTATCTTCTTTTTTTTAATTCAATTATAAATTAGTACTAATATATAATAGTCAACTTTATTAATATTTTAGTTCTTTGAATACATATAATTTATATTTAATAACAAATTGCTTTTTTTTTCATTTATATTTAGTACTAATACACAATAGTCAACCTAATTAATTTTATTCCTNATATATATTTATCGTTGGTGATTAACATACAATGGTGCCCCCGTCGTGCTCAAATCCTGGGTCCGCTTCTAATAACAGCAATAACAATAATACTATCAATGGATCAATTTAGCTCTTGAAATAGAAATTTTATCACATAATGGAACAAGAAAAAGTATTATCTAGTTCCAAATCAGATGTTCAAATTTGCTTTTATCTTTCTTATTATATAACTTTGTCAACTCTAATTGCAAAAAATGGAAAAATAACACTCCTAAAAAGTTGACGGGCTCCACCAAACTTTTATAAAAACCATTGGCCTGTGTTTGTAGTGCTTAGGAGTAAAGCTAGTTAATTCAAAACATATATGGCTCAATAATTTTTTCATTATTAATACCCAAAAAGTCGACCAACGCTTTACATCTTCTGCCCTATAAATTTGTCCTAAGCAACTGCCAACAACATTCATTCAACCCCAACAAACAAAGGAACAATTCAAAGAAAAACATAAACCTACAAACTCTCAACAAAAATTTCCATGGCAACTACTTCAACTTTATTCATTCAAGAATTCATGGAAAACTTCCACTACTCAAGAAGAGTACTACTTTTACCAGCCACCCCACAATACCACCAAGATATTAACACCATGGCACCAACTGATCTACCACAAGGGGAAAGCAATACATTTGATGCACATGTTGTTATGGTATTATCAGTACTTTTATGTGCTTTAATTTGTTCACTTGGCTTGAATTCAATCATAAGGTGTGCATTAAGATGCACTAGCTTAGTATCAGCGTCAAACTCATCCTCAAACTATACGAACGCTTCAGCAACAAAGCTACCAAATAACGGGATCAGAAAAAAAGCCCTGAAAATGTTCCCGATTATAACTTACACTGCTGAGTTGAAACATCCGGGGCTTGACTCCGAGTGTGTCATTTGCTTATCTGAATTTGTTGCTGGAGAGAAAGTTAGGGTTTTGCCTAAGTGCAACCATGGCTTCCACGTCCGATGTATCGATAAATGGCTAAATTCACACTCTTCTTGCCCTACTTGTAGGCATTGCCTAATTGAAACATGTCAAAAAATTGTTAATGGTGGTAGTTCTTCTACTACTACAAGGTCAATTGCAAGCCCTCAGATAGTTAGCAATACCTCATCAGCAGTACCAGTCCAAGAAGTTATTATAAGGATTGAACCTCTCCAACGTGAAGGTGTGGTATCTAATAATCAAAATTAGTTAGAAAAATAGCAGCCTACTTGTTTTTTTTTAAAAAAAAATTCATTTTAAGGAAAATTAGCTAGATAGCAAAAGGGCCAATGCCCTTGTAGTTTTCCAAAGGATTCGATAGCCTTGCAAATTGTAACATCAATTGTATATAAATTGAATTCCTTTAGTAAAGTTCTTTTCTTCCTGTCAGAAAACAATAGTGTACCATATTTTATTTATTTGGGACACAATTTAAAGGGAAATCAGGAGAATAAAATTTAACAAGTAGGAGTTTAACAATTACAATTTAAAGTATTCCTGGATGGAGAATGAAGATATGTGGAAATTCATTAAGAATGAAGGGATTATTGAAAACTGACAAAGCTATGTGCTATGTCTATTCCAAAGAAAGAATTCACTTTGTTCCATTTTATATGTGTTTTGTTTTTTAGTATGTTCCAAAAAATAATGATACTTCTATATTTGAAAAAGAAATTAACTTTAAATATTTTATTTTATCTTTAGTGATATAATTTTATAATCATAAAAAATGTCATGCATATTTAAGACTATAAATTCCAAATATCTTTCTTTTCTTTCTTAAATTCAGTACTTAATCAAATACCAGCACATAGAATGAGTTAAAAGACGCAACTTATTTAATGTGATTTATAGTGGTAAATAGAAATCCCAGTAATACAATAAACATTAGTTTTGTTGAATCTTGTTCTTTTCCCATTTTCGGATTTTCATTCTTCTCCGCTACCTCATTCTGATAATATATTTTATAAGCAATATATGCCCCAAAATTTCTACTATTTCTAGTTCTCCATTTTGCAGTTCCCAATTTATCTATATTTTCTTATGTTGGGGGTGTGGATGGAATGGGCTGGGGTTATGGGTCGGTATGTTGCATTATAATTATGACAAAATTAATTATAATTTTCATGATAAGATAAATTAATTAAACAAAGGAAAGTGCTTAACGTGGTTAAATACTGTGTGAAAATGAGGGTGCAGAGAAATAAAGTCAAAAGAGTATTTTGAGAAATCCATAATAATAAAATTGCAGCAAACTGAATCTAACGTTGGAATGACAAGACTAATGGGCAAAGGAATTGGACAAGAATTTTCTCATGTGTATTAATGTTATCTGAGTAGACAAATCACCAAAGAAAAGACATATAATTGCACTATCAATTATTATTGCAAGATAAGCCAAGTCCACTTATAGTTTTAGCCAGTCTTAAAGAGCAAAATTGGTTATTTCTCAATGAAAAATCTAGTTTTTAAAGGAATTATTCATCATGTTTCAACTAAAGCTTAAGAAAAATAAAGATTTAAAGTCAATTATGTTTCTGCACTTTCAGAATATATTATTCCAAGAAAATAACCAAATCTCACAATTTAATAGGAACAGAATATAAAGGTGCTCACTACTCACTAAAAACAAAATAAACTATTTTTAATAACAGAGGTGACAGATATGATATCTTTTGTTTACGAGATCGATAATGATATTTCAAAATAATATAGTATTATTTACAAAGACCAATACGATATGATACTTAAAGTATGGTATTGTTTGGAAATTAACATTTAAAGTAAATTCTAAAGATCAAGAAACTCATTTTCCAGGGTTAAGATTAATATTACATTATGTTGTCGCGACGTAATTAAGTATGATTAAAGTTATAAAACTCTTAAGAGATCACACTTGAGTTTCATGTGATTACAAGTTTTCTAGTCATATATGTTCCCAAATAGGACTTCGCAAGATCAATATTTAAGATCCTAAAATCACAAATCGCATCATACCGGCCCCTTCGTTTCCATTTGTTTAGCTTGTTAGGGCCGGGATAGGGGTAGAGACACAAACAAACTGAATCCCCATAGAATAATGAACACGAAAAGAGAAACTAAATGGATTCAATCAAATTATGGAACCATCAATTATATATGAAATGGAAGCTAAACGGGCATGCACAAATGTCTTATTGATCAAACAAGGAGTAATAAAACTTGTTGCAAAGGTTGCTTTTGTTTTATAGTAGTATTATTTTATCCATCTAGTGTAAATACACTGATAAGTTATGTGTCTTTTTGTTTTGATGATTTGACAAACTTTATGAGAGAATCAAATAAGGAACCTGAAACAATTAGTTCCTTTGCGTTCAGAGTAACTAGTCGGATATCTGGTTCAACTCTCAATGAAATCAGTTAAGGGATCAGCAGAGGGAACAATAGAGGGAACATATAGAGATAAGTTCCTCCGGTTACAGTACAAGTCAAACCTTTAGAGTTGTTAAAGTTGTTGCACTGCACACACAACAGTGCAACAGTCACTATTTGAAGCATGTTGTGTACCTGATATTTGCTTACATTATCCCAATGACATCACACACATATAATCAACATGAGGCAAGGGATTTCATCTCTCCAACACTTGCAAATCAAAACATAATATTCTCTCAAGTGCTAGCCACCACCTTTCCCAAGAACAAAGTTGCTGCAACTTCAAGGACCAGATCCAAAGATTGAAGATATCTTAAGTCCTTAGGTTTGTTGAAACTTTGTTATTTTGTTCTTCATTTGTAATTCTACACTACTTTCAAGAAGTGCCTTTGTAGGACAGATTTAAACCACTGTTTGGTTTAGTTTCTTGACTAGAGTTAGTCAAGGTTCGTTGCTTTGTAATAGATTTATTGCAAAGGGCTTACAATAGAGTTATTGTAAGGGGTGAGGGATTAAGAGTTTAATTCCTAGATTGCAATAGGTTTTAATCTGAAGTTTGCTCGGTTTAGTGGAGTTGAAATCCTATTAGGGACACTACTTTCAAGAAATGTCTTTGTAGGACAGATTTAAACCACTGTTTGGTTTAGTTTCTTGACTAGAGTTAGTCAAGGTTCATTGCTTTGTAATAGATTTATTGCAAAGGGCTTACAATAGAGTTATTATAAGGGGTGAGGGATTAAGAGTTTAATTCCTAGATTGCAATAGGTTGTAATCTGAAGTTTGCTCGGTTTAGTGGAGTTGAAATCCTATTAGGGTGGGTCGTGGTTTTTACCCTTGAGCAAGGAGTTTTTCACGTAAATATCGCGTGTTCTTTATTTACTACCGATTTACTGTAGGAATAGATAGACAACCTGGTCCCCTATACTTTTGATTTTACAGTCTGTGCTTACTGTGGGAACTGATAGAGAACTTGGTTCTCTATACAATTTGGTGGACTCTTAGTTTCTATCAATTGGTATCAGAGTGGGTTCTTTCTAAAAGGTTAACATCTAGAAATGATCCTCATCATGGCTGCTCCACCAAACTTCGACGAAGGACAATCAACCTGTAGACCCCCAAGATTCAATGGTCAATACTATGGTTGGTGAAAAACAAGAATGCATGACTTTATTATGAATGAAGACTCCGAGCTTTGGGACGTGATTTGTGATGGTCCCTTTGTCCCTATGAAGGCTACTGGAGAGGGAATAAGGACTATTCCAAAGACAAGAAAAGAATACAATAATGCTGACCGAAAAGTTATTGAGAAGAACTTCAAGACGAAGAAGATTATTGTGTGTGGTATTGGACAAGAAAAGTATAATTGTATCTCGGAATGTAAAATCTTCCAAGGAAATCTAGGAAGCTCTTCAAACGGCTCACGAGGGAACTACTTAGGTAAAGTAGCCCAAAATAGATATGCTTACAACTGAGTATGAACTCTTTAAAATGAAAGAGGATGAGGCCGTTGAAGAGATGCATACCCGTTTCACCTCCATAATCAATGAGCTTCATTCATTTAGTGAAATCATTCCAATCAACAAGATGGTCCGGAAGATACTCAGTGTTCTACAAGGTTCCTAGTAGAGCAAGGTTAATGTAACGACCCGACCGGTCATTTTGAGCATTTACACTTTGCTCGGTGGTTTGAGGACATGAGTAGCCCGTATGATGTGTTATGACTTATGTAAATCGTTGGTTTTGGTTTTCAGGTTATGCAGAATTAATTTGGAAGAATGATTCTCAACTAGAAAACTTTAAATTGAAAGAGTTGACCAAGTTTAACTTTTTAGTATTTGACCTCAGATTGGAGTTTTGATGGTTCTGTTAGCTCCATTGGGTGATTTTGGACTTAGGAGCGTATTCGGATTGTGATTTGGAGGTCCGTAATTGAATTTGGCTTGAAATGGCAAAAGTTAGATTTTTGGAAAGTTTGATCGGGAGTGGACTTTTTGATATCGGATTCAGATTGTGGTTCTGCAAATTGGAATAACTTTGTTATGTCATTTGGGACTTGTGTAAAAATTTGGGTTCATTTCGGAATGGTTTGCTTTATTTCGGTACGAGTTATGGAAGTTGAAAAGTTCAAAATTCATCAAGTTTGAATTACGGGGTGATTCGTCGTTTCGATATTGTTATGTGTGATTTGAGGCTTCGAGTAGGTCCGCGTTATGTTACGGGACTTGTTGGTTTATTCAGACAGGGTCCCGAGTGGTTCGGGTGTGTTTCAGGAAGTGTTTTGAACAAGTTTAGGCATTTCGGCACTCTGATGTTGTTCTGGAGCTTTTGGGAGTGCAGGGCATATTTTGGAGTGCGTATGTGCGGTTGCAAACTCCCAAATTGCGGAGGCAGTGGTAATTGTGCAGACCGCAGTTGAAATTGTGCGGTCTTCAGAATTCTTCTCGCGGCCGCAGAAATGGGATTCTACAGGTTCGATGGTCTGAAGCCTGGTAGAATTATTTGGGCATTCATACAGAAAGTTATGGGCATTTTACTAAAGCCTGGTAGTGCAGTCACTGTGGAACTGCGACTGCATAATTTGGACTTGCGACCGCGGGACCTAAGATGTGCGGCCATACAAAAGAATGTGCGGACAGCACAATGGGAGGTCAGACTTTGTACTATATAAACGAGGGTTAGAATATTATTTCATATTTGGACTTTGGGAGCTCAGTTTGTGGCAATTTTTTGTGGGTTTTTCAAGAAATTCATCGGGGTAAGTGATTCTAACTCGAATTTGGTTAATATACCTGATATATCATTGTTTTCATCATTTAATTAGTATTTTGAGATGGAAATTGGGGGGTTTTGTCTAAAGTTTTATAATGTGAATTTTGGAGTTTTGAACATCGATACGGAGTCAAATTTGAGTGAAACTAGTATGGTTAGACTCATAATTGAGTGGGTTATCAGATTTTCTGAGT